ACCAGTATACCCACTGTCCCTCCTCTGGACATGTCCAAACCATCTCAGTGTGTCCTCTCTAACTTTATCTCCCAGTTGTTCAACCTGTGCTGTACCTCTGATGATCTCATTCTTAACCGTATCCATCCTTGTCTCTCCTAAGGAGAACCTCAACATCTTCATTTCTGACACTTCCAGTTCTGTCTCCCGTCTTTTTGTCCATGTCTCTGTCTCCAGACCATACAACAGAGCTGGTCTCACCACTATCTTGTAACTTTTCCTTTGACCTTTGCTGACACCCTTTTGTCACAAATCACTCCTGAACCTTCTCTCCATCACTCCATCCTGCCTGGACTCTCTTCTTCACCTCTTTACCACACTCCTCATGTTCCTGGACAGTGGACCCCAAGTCCTTGAAGTCCTGCACCTTTGTGACCTCTGCTCCTTGTAGCCTCACTGTTCCACCTCCTCCCTCTCATTGACACACATGGACTCTGTCTTACTACGACTGACTTTCATCCACCCATCTTTACCTGCTTCTTCCATTTTGGGTCGCGGGGATCACTGGTGCCCATGTCCAACTATCACTGTGCGAGAGGCAGGGGAAACCCTGGATAGGTCGCAGGTCCATCACTGAGCAGAGACATTTAGATCTGTCCAGGTGTCCCTGTGATGGACTGGAGACCTGCCCACCTCTCGCACAGTGATAGATGGACATGGACACCAGTGACCCCAACAACCCAAAAAGGAAGAAGCGGGTAAAGATGATAGGTGGATGTTTTTTTGTACCTCATGTCAGGTCATCTGGACAGTTTCTTTTTTTTGTGCTGAAACGTTTCGCCTTCAATCCAGAAGGCTTCATCAGTCAAGGAAACACAGCACAAAACTGACTCTTCCTCAAACAGGTTACTCCAAAGTGGAACAAACCAGTTTTGCTTGTGATAAGATGGTCTCTTTGGTACGCCCCCTCCTCCATTGCCGGCCCTCTTCCTTGTTGACAGTCTTGTCAAACTGGTTGAAAACAACAAAGTCCATGCTCAATAATCCAGGTACACAATCCAACATTTTTCAGTCAGGTCATCTGGTCAGTTTCTTTTTTTTTTTTTTTTGATGAAGCCTTCTGGATCGAA